ATTTTCCCAACTAATGTTACTTTAGCAATATTCCGGACACTTACCTCTTTTCCAAGTTTCCCCCCTGTTGTCTATTTAATAACCAGAATGGAAAGTATTAACTGGCTAGAGTAGGGGTCTTGTTTTTTTTATTACAGCATTAACTGACTAATGGAATTATATATCGATGAATATGAGAAACTAAGTAATGAAACTGCATTTATAATACTTTTAAATAGTATTTCCTTAGTCATATAGTACATTTCCATATCATCAAAGGGTCATTAGTACCAGATAATCTTTCAATGAATGATCTCTCCTACGGGGTTTGTACTTAAGAATAAATACCTTACTATCTCTAGGAACGTTTTTACATGCATAATTTCAGTTATACGATTGTTTCAGAGCTTATTAAACATAAAATGTACATTTTCAGGGTAAGTGATCTGGTTTCCCCTGAATCGTGTGAGTTTATTTGTTCCATTAGCCATTTGTGATTGTCTTCTTTTGTTTTATTTGCCTATATGAGGAATTGTCGAGTTCCAAACAGGGTGAACATACGGTTTTACAATAGAGTTCTGCTATATATCAACCAGTAACATTTAAAATGTGAAGGCGCCTCAATGTGCACAGTGCTTTTCGACAGGTGCGAAATGAGTTTTTGGTCAGTAGTGTCCTTATTGGCGCGTTTACTGGAATTAGTTAAATGAACAGTTTCTATGATTTCTAGAAATATAGTTTCATATTTTGTATGATGATGAATTTAATTTTATTTGGGATGGTGGGGGTTATTTAATATTATCATTGTGTTTACAGATCTTTTTGTTTTTATTAATCATCTTTCTTAAAATTTATACATGCGAAAACTGCAAATATAATTTTTGAAAAGGCAAATCAAAAGCCAAAATGAAAGCAAGTACTTTTCTTAGATCGTGATAAAAAACAAATCAATGTAATAACACTTTTCTTGGTTTGTTGTTTCAAGAACAATTACATAATAATAAGACATCGTTTAACTTTTACCAAACACAAAACAAACATAAACAAACATTCGTGGAACTTTCTGGACACCATTTGGTGAATCATATATGAACTATTTTGATTTGAAATCCAATCTGTGTGAATAAATGCTCGTTAAATGCAAGATATTCACGGGGTGAACTGCAATGACAATAACATTGTAGTTTTAAATCTGAATACAATTAATTCCTCTAATATATTAATTCTCAATGGCGTATGTTAGATTAATTAACGATTGTTGAATCTGTCGAAATGACACCATTTCGACAGATTTGTCAACTTTCAATTATATACCTTTGAATAGAATTACAGTGTGGTTCATTTATTAGAAGTCGGTATTTGTCTCGGGAAAGGTTATGCAATTGGAGTATACACAAATAGACTCCCTGCGCATATGCGTATTAACATACAGATACGAATATTAGTGAGAAATTGTCATTATTAACCGAGAATTGAGAAGATCTTATTACAAGAATATGTATAGTCGAGGGCATCTACTCTCATTAGCCTTGTAAACGGAGCAGATAAACCACAGAAATTGAAACAAGAAATGTAAAAGAATGCCTATTATTGAGCTTGATGACGCGATCATAAGAATCATGACAAAATCCTACTCATTTGGAAGCTTGGAATTATACTGAATTATTACCTCTACAGCTTACATCGTCTAATGAGAATAAGTCAAACGTCACACGGGAATTATACTTAATGGTCATTACAATACAAATTGTGGGTCTAAAGACAAGCTTCAGAAGGACAGATGGGTATTAGCTGACATAAGATCCAAAAGGAATAATAACAAAAGACTTTTGAATCCAGAATGGTAAGAATACAAACTTTAATATTTTTGATGTTTTTCTCATTGATTGATAATGAATATCTTGTGATTAAAATGTAAATTATTTTATATAGTTCAAAATGCTTTTTTATTTATTTATTTTATTCTATTATGTTTCCATATTAGAATTATTGAAAATGACATTGACATGTCATATTTTCATCCGGACTTTTAGAGATCTTAGATTTTTAGGTTTTGCCAATTCTGCATTCGTATCACATTTTTGAGTTTTTGAAGCTAGCATCCTAAAAAGACACATGACTATCATTATCCGAGAACATGTTGCTATGGTTGTTGGTCGCTATAGTTTAGTGCTTCTTAAATATATTTCTATTCTTCAAATATCACTGCTTTCAGACTGGAAAACCTTGGATTTCATGTGTATAGTAAGGGTATCAAGAAAAGCTTAAATGCTTACAATGAAACAAAATAAAAAACTAAAAAACAAAGTGCTGGTACCTCAAAAATATAAGCAAGAACAATGCAGACTCGACTACAGACGCAGATTGTCAACGATTTTTTGTCTTCGAGTAGTTTTAACAATATACTCATCAGAGTTAACAAATTGTACTTGCAAACAGAAACATTTTCTTTAAATCTATAGTTCATCGTGATGTTGCTCTCTAATAAAAATGAATGGGCTTTGTTTTACAATGTACAGCGCATTACAAAAATTAATAATTTTCTGAGAGGACTCTTTCGTGGTAATGAGGAATAATTGGGATTTGATATAAGTCCACTTGTATGAGGTATTGCACTAATACTTAGTTTATGAAAATAAAAGAAATATAAATTAAGGCCTAATGGGAAAAAAACATGAACTATTTCGTAAAAGCATAAGTGCAGATATTTCCTATGAAACCTTGTCAATGAATCCAATTATTGAGTGATAGTAGAGTCATAGCCTACATTGTGGATAATCTTATAATGTTTGTCATGCGGAAACCTTAAAGACATGGCTATTAGGGTATAAGTGTTGCAATATACCTTTAGCTCTTTTGTTTAAAGCCATTATCACAATCTTTAGGTTTGTTCCATGTTGTAAAAGCGCTCGGAGAAGGGACGAATTATTCTGAACCCTACAGAAATTTAGATTTAAAAGGGCTTTCAAAAGCCATGCCCTGTCTGCTGTAGGGGAAAGATAGAGGGGAAGGGTATACTTTGTGAAAATAACTTATTCACACCAGAGTCGCAACCACTTTTTTTTTACCTTTTATGTTATATCATTTATTTACTATTGTTCATGACTTTTAAAGTTATTTAGGGATATTTTCGACAAAAACACGTGAGGATGATTGCCAGTGTACCCCGCCCTTGCTTATCAAGAGATATGTGTGACCTCTAAATTTTAGTTTTAAATAAATTCACGATTTTCCAAGCTACTAAAACACTGACAGTATCAAGCGAACCTTCGCATCAACGAGGGCGGATGATAAGTGTTGACATTGAATTAGACTACGTTATAGCTGACGCAATGCTTTGATATTTAAACCTAATCAAACTTTAATAACTCCGGAGTATCATCATTTGTTCATATACCATGCGTAGGCACTACAATTCAACGATATATTCCAACGCTTACATCATTAACCTTGTTCTATCACGCCTTACCATCGCGTAAGCAGGCGTCACCGTACAGCGTCAAAAAATAGCGGAGTACCGTTTTCTGTACGGTAACGCAAATTAACTGCTTTGAAGCAAAAACTATGACAAGGGTTTAAAAAAAATTAATTTGATGAAAACTAATACGATTTCATGTGAAATAAAAACAGCATTCTGTTAGAAATGGTTTTAACTAACTGATTATGATAAACGTTTTACGAGCACTGTTCGGATTTTTTCTGAGTGAATCGGCCCACATAATCGACCCAAGTGAACAAAAAGGTTGTTTTTTCACATTTCGTTTGGTTATTATTTTCCCTGCCGTCTGAGAGAATGGATTATTTTTTTGAGAAAATGTATTTATTGACTACACATTTTAGAACGGGCGAAGATTCAGCAAACAACTATGCATTATGTATATTTAAAAAAGATCAAATTTGAACGGTGACGCACCAGCTGTACGGTGACGCCATGCTTTGATGAACTTACCCTACTATCACACCAAACTAGTTCTCACTACGTTCTCGAAAACGGGCCTCAACTGTGTACGAACGGACTGGACGTACTAAGAACCGTTTGGGATCTATTTACAAACTTCATCGAACGTACTCGAACGGGTAGGTACTCTAGAACTTAGACAATGCTCAAAATGTTCTCGTGGTCGTCACGTTCTACAATTAGAACGAGTGACAACGTACTAACGACGAGCTGGACGTATTACGAACGGAACCGTCGTACTTCAATCCTACTAGGGATGTTTTAACAACGAGTTGAACTGTCTGAGGACGTGTTGAGAACGAGGTAGAACTCATTGCAAACGGGTTTAAACTGATTAAGAACGTATTTAACACTGCTTATGAACGAGTTAGCAAAACTATAGCTATCACACCAAACAAGTTGCCACTGCGTTCTTCAAAACTGGTTCTAAACTGTGTGCGAACGGAATGAACGTAGTTACAACTTTCTAAGGTCTATTTACGAACTTTATGAACGTTCTCAGACGGGAATGTGATTTTAGAATTTTGAATCGATTCAAAATTCGATTGCGACCATACCGTTCTGTTATCAGGTCATGATGACCTTCTAAACTAAGGGACGCATTCTACGGCGTTGCACACCGACGTGGTGCGACCTGAACGAACTGCGAACGAGATGGACGTATTGAAGACTGTTTAAGAACGAAGAAGCTAATTATTTCAGACATATTTCCCGACCATAGCCAGATTGAGCCCGTTTTACGACGTTTTCGTAGGACTGGTAAGAACGGGTAAGAACGAGTTTGGTGTGATAGGGGGGTAAATGAGACTAAGATTGTATGAAATGGAAACTCTGGAGTATGATCATTTGTTCATATATAGCGCCGTTACATACATAATGGAAGGTTACTGGAAATGTATGATACGGTAAAGATCATGAAACCAAAAACTCTCTTGTTGCTATGTTATTGATGTTTTAAAACAAGGGATGTCACAAGTAAATCTCATCTTGCACGTGTGACTTTTTAGGATGAAAGATGCAATATATTGCATGGGGTAAAGATGGCTGTGTAGGCTATCTTTGTTAGTCATATGAGAAAAGTCTGGTTAAGTTCAAATGATACCAAAGCATTACGTCAACTTTCAAATAGTTAATTCCATGAAAACTAAAAATATCGAAATTGATACTTCCTGTCCACCATCTTAAATGCGAAGGTGACGGCTGTAACCTTCGCTTGATACTTACCAGTGATAATGTACATGTAGATCTGACGCTTCTCTACCTCTTGTTCGAACAGTAAGCTTAGAGCTCTTCCTAAAATCTAAGGAAGCGTCACCGTACAGCTGATGCGTCACCGTACAGTTCTGATCTTTTTTGAATAAATACACTGAATGATTTTTTGCCGAATATTCATCTGTTCTAAAATGTGTAGATAACAAATACATATTCTCATAAAAATAATCCATACTCTCAGACGACAGGGAAAATAATAACCAAACGAAAAGTGAAAAAAACAACATTTTTCTCTCGAGTCGATTATGTGGGCCGATCCAGTCAGAAAAAATCCGAGCAGTGCTCGAAAAACTTTTGTCATAATTAGAAAGTTAAAACCATTCTTGAGAATGCTGTTTTTATTACACCCGAAATCGTATTTATTTACGTCTAATTAATCTTTTTAAAACCCTCATTATAGTTTTTGCTTCAACTAAGTTAAATTTCGTCACCGTACAGAAAACTGTACTACTGTATTTTTTGACGCTGTACGGTGACGCCTGCTTACGCGATGGTTAGGCGTGAAGATACGCCTCTTACCAATTCTAACCTTTTTTATAGTTAGGACATGTAATGAAACGGTATATAAAATGCAAAGTGTTATTACTGTTACAATGAGGACAGATACAATTACTTTTCCTCCGTTTATTGTCCTCCTCTAGGCATCAAGTTCTTGCCAATCTATTTAACCTTTATATTAGGAGTTAAAATCTTTGTCAATTTGTACATAGTTCTCCTGAAATGCACGTTTTTAAGTATTGAGTACGTGTTCAGGGGTCTTATCTATCGATTTTAAGAACTCTGTCATTTTCAGAAACTGATTTATCAGGACCAAGAGGATGTCTTATTATCCTCAAAACGCGTAACACATGTCGATGTATACGTCTCTAAAACCATACTTTTCCATACGTTTCTGTAGGTAGAGGAAAATAGTCTATAATATACCAACATAAGCAAAAGTGGTTTATAGTCAAAATTAGAAAAATGTTATTCTAGCATTTTTTCTGTTTTTCTTAAATTGCGTCTCATCTCAAAACACATTGAACGGGAAATCAGGATTAATCATTAAATTAGGAATTTGGATTAATGCTAAATAATGACTGACGAAAACCAGGCAATTCTAATTATTGTGTGATGCCACAACAGGTAATGTATGGCAAGAGAATATTGGCTAATCTAGGACATGATAACACTTGTATTTGTATCTGTAAGCTTTGACAAAAACAATGTGTGCTTGTAGTGAAGAAATCAGCTTGTGTCTGATAACATGGTTAGTTTGTATTGATATTAACTGTTGTAGTAAGCATTAACATATGCAATTTGTTTTTCTATTATTGACCGTTTTTAATCAAAACTGTTCAAAATTTGCAGTTTTGAAATAGTTTTCTCCGACATTCATGGTAAGGGTTAAGTCTCTAGCCAATACGATACCAGGGGCGTAGGAAGGTGTAAATTCAACACTACGCCAAGAATTGTGTCATATCTTTAATATCAAAACGCCTATTTTATGCTCGTAAAACGTAATTTTTATAGTAATATCTTTCTAATGCGCTTAAAATGTTCGAATGTTTTCCATCATATAAAATCACCATGGAAAGCCGACCTTTTAAATCTCGACAATACAGATTAAAGAAACTAGTATGACTAATAGAAACATGTCCGTGATCAATGATAAAACTAACTTTAATGTCTGCAACCTTATTCGCAAGACCAAGTAAACCCGGAATGTACTAAAAACCCTTCGACCCTTCGACCCTGCGACCTACGACTTACAGCGTGTCAAGAATTTTTGAAATATATTTTTATAAAAACCCTTCGACCTTCTAGATATTTCTCAGTCCATATGAAGTTGCTGGAAATATTACTTTGTGTATAGAACTTAAGAATCTGTCCCAAGAGAGTTAAAGATATTTAAAGCTGGACTTCGATCGGAGCCGGCGATATGATTTTGGAAAGGTTTCTAAATGAAGAACGTGACGTCACTTCCGAATCATAGCATTCAAAATGAGTAGCGTTTAATTACTCCCACCATTCATAAAATCACGGTGGTCTAGCGGAAGAATGCTCGCTAATGCCAACAAAATAAGTAGATTCTTTGTTTTGCATCCTACAAAATCCAAAGCATGCGAGGTTCTAAGGCTAGAGTACCGACAATTGTCGGTACTCTAGACTCTGATGTGGTGGCACGCTAGAGGACCGACAAATAAATTGTCGGTACGGGAGATATGCTGTGTTTACACGCTAGAGGACCGACAAATATTGATTTTCGAATTTTCTGGCACATGCGCAATGCGCGGGGGGGGATATTTCAGATATCATACGGATATTTTGGGAACAAGTGCAAAACCCGGGGAGGGCATTAGCCCCGGTTACCCGGGGATTACCAAACCCAGTCAAAAAATGGTAGCCCGGGAACGGGGAATGGTAGTAAACGTTGAAAACCCAATAAAAACATGAACAAGTAAGACGTTAGAGAGCTATTAATGCAGAGTAAACGGCTATATATATTCTAAACAGACAGGATATTTCTCCTGAGCCGATCAGGCGTAGAAAGGGGCGTTTGCTACCCATTAGATAGAAGAAAATAGCCATAGAATGTTTTTTATTTGAAGCTTATGGTATGAGGTTCCATATCCATCCGCCTATATAGTCCATTTAAAAACCTGTGGTATCATTCTAAATAACCCATAGTTGGCTTCTAGGGTACCTAGTATGCCACTATTTGGTATCAAAATAAAGAGGAGTTCAACTTTCATTTGAATTACGAAAATAGCGATGTAGGTGAAAATAGTTCCGAACGTGAGCATGTTTACTACGCGTTTGCCCGTCATATCAGAATTGAGGAAGTGGTAGCAAACGCAAGTTACAATAAACGGACGCTGATATCTCAAAAAGTAACCCGACTCCCTATAATTTGATGTAGGTCAATCGAACCCCTATATGGACAGGTGCATTTTGATATATTACACTATGGGGGGTAAGCTTCAATTTTTGTCGAAATAAATTATGGCTCACTACAAGTTAATGCCTGTACGATTCCATACTGCAAAAGAAGCACTATGCCCCCTCAAAAGAAAAAAGTAGGTCTTGCCGGGATTCGAACTCGGGACCGAGTGTGTTCGAGTCGTGCTCCCTAACCACTAGGCTACCAGTGATGAGGTTATTTCGAAAAGTAAACGTAGTGGATTTATTTATTAAATTGTCGGCTCTCTAGCAAAAACACGCAGCAGCCTCTTGCGTACCGACAATTGTCGGTTCTCTATCTGGCACTACTAGGTGACGATAGAGTGCCGACAATTGTCGGTACCCCAGCAAATACCCCTGGACAGTCTTCAGTACCGACAAAATTGTCGGTCCTGGAGCCACTCCGATATGAAACATTTCAGAACTAGATAACAGCAACGCGAGGTGGAGCAAATCCCATCGAACTTTTGATCTCAAAATCGTTCAACTACTTTTCAAGTTTTAGTAAAAAAGTAAAATAACGCAATGCGTGACATATACGTAATTCGCGTGAAAATCCCGAACGAAATGCGTACGTTTTTTTTCGGCGTTCGCATTTTTGCTGTGTAGACGAACTTTTTTAGAAATTTTTCTACTGAAACATTTTTGCTTGACAATTACCAGGTAAAATGCGTATTTGCGTGCACAGGGAGCTCAAGTTGGAACTTTACGTAATCATTTAGTAAACTGGACTGGGAAATCAGAGGTCGAAGGGTTTTTCAATAAAATATATTCCAAAAATTCTTGACACCCAGTAAGTCGTAGGGTCGAAGGGTCGTAGGTCGAAGGGTTTTTAGTACATTCCAGTAAACCCCCCTAAACAAAGTTCAGCGTGTCATTTTGTGATAAATTGTTAATTGCCTTTCAAAATAATAATTGGTGCATAAATGCTTTATTTCCCAAAATAATAATCTATTATCTTTCAAATGAAGTAAAAATTAGGGTAATTGCTTTCCTAGAACTGAAGTTATGTACTTTCAAAGATTCCAGGCATCACGAAAACTCAATGGAAAGCGTAACTGAATAATCAACAATTTCAAGTTCAAATTGTTTTGTCTTTCATATCTATATTTCAAGAAGTACTACAAATAACAATTACAACTCGTGATTTAATAAGATAATAGATAAATACCATTCTGATATTCATAGCATCTTTCTGTCAATTAGTGAAAAAAATACATATCTAAAATTGGGAGAGGTTTATCATTATCATTCTGGTACCACAGTTTACAAAAGCATTACGGAACATGCACAAAAATTTACTAAAATCGATTTTCATGAAATAAAGCATGTTGGAAAGAGAATTCAAGCTGTTAAATGAGTCCTATCTACCCAACAGAGTAATAATGATTTATCATTTTCTAGTAGAAACAAAGTGACTATAAATATTTTACGAATTTCATTTTTTGACTTAAACTCCCGACTGTCATAACTTTGCCCCTATACCCCAAATCACCTTGATTTTTAATTTACACCAGAAAGTGCCATTTATCTGTGGCCAAAGCTACAAAAATTACATAGGCACAAACTTGCAAAATGTGCTATTGATTAAAATCGAACATATTACATTATGTCCAAAAACATTTCTTTGGTGTGGTTTCGCTATCGATCACAAACAATTATACAATGAGGAATTAAGACTAGCTTTTCAACACTACGCATTGGCGTTTTGGCGTACATTGTTCCTACGCCACTGGATACAGTGACCTTTGAAGAAGGTCATGACGAGATCCTTAAGAGTTCAGTTTGATCAGTTGAAAAGCTTTGAACATGATAAATAGATGGCTCTGGTGGCAAAGATTTTACCATGTAAATATGGGCCTTGTTGAACTTTACTGAATGAAACCAAAATCAAGCTTTGTTGTTGCTTGTCTTTGCAATAGTCGCGTTATATAGATTTTCAATCAAATATGAAATAATCATGATATCCAAGGACAAATATTTGTTCAGTATAAACATATGCAAAGAAATTTAAAGTCATTCTAAATATTTTTTGTTAAATTGCAATAAATTGCATAAAACCTGTTTTACATCATTAACCTTGTTCAAATTATTTGGCTATGTGTTTCAATAATAGGAGTTATTAGAATCAGAAAAAGACCCGCATACTTAACATTTATGTAATCTGGTAATGGGAGTTTAAGGATTCTGGGTTTACAGGTTTATCCAAAGAGAAATATGTAATTCTCCCTCAGGAACACAGGGACAGAGAGGAATACATATTTCCCTTAGGATAAATCGAGTATCCAAAACAGATTACTGATAACAAATATATCTCATACCTACTGAGGTCCTTGGTTCACTCTACCTTCTTAGATTCAATAGATCAACTCACACTTCGTCGGGTCTTATGCTTTACCCTTTATTCAGGGAAAGTTTAGACTGTATCAAAAAAACATTGATGGCATCTACCCAACTTGCGCTATTGGATTTATGGAAAAAATGATTACTGTGAATCCTTATGTGGATCAACATTCAAAAAAGCAAACACATTATATAGCATTATGAAACGTATACTATCAATTTTATTTCAATCTTAAGTAATAGGGAGTTTTTAATATTTAAAGCTCGTGCCCCTTTAAATCAAAACAAGGCATCTAAGCTGCTTCACCTTGCTAATTATTCTTGTCATTGCATTTTCAATTTAAGGCATGGCTCATTCGTGTACAGGCCGTTGGGTAATACCTATTATAGTACCTTTTTTTGTAAAAACAAGCCAGTAAAAAATTACAACTTGTCCACATTTTCTTAATGATCCATTTATGCTTTCTCGTTCCAGATGCGGTTTATCTTGGTTTTACTTCTGGCACTGGTCTTCACGTTGGCATCTTCATTTGCATTCCATGTGGACATGAACAAACGAAACCCACCCCTTGATTCAGCAGAACATTTTATCACAACCAGACAGGACCGTGGAATAACTAATCCAAAAATGGGCACCTGGTCTATTTACAGGCCTGGGACATGTACATCTGATAGTATATTAAACTTTTGTTATGTATGTAGCAGAGATGTCAATGATATGAAGGTTTACATTGACTGTTGCGAACAGCAAAAGGAAACTGTAGTTTGGTGTACAGAGTGGTTGAAGGGAAGATAAGTAAATAGAAACCAGGTTGTAGTATGAGGGAAGATAAGTAAATAGAAACAAGGTTGTAGTATGAGGAAATAACAAGTAAATAGGAACATTTCCGAAGACCATGTCGTCTGGTTTGCAGAGAGATCTAGAGGAAAATAACATGTAGAAATTGGAACAGATATCCAGATAAGATCTCCAATCTATGACTAGGGACATAAACTGAGCAGAGTGATAAACTACTACAAAGCCTTATTTACTCTTGTCATCTGAAACTGAATTCCGATTATTATTAGATTGGTATTGATCCAGATTTAATAAATAAACAAAATAAAACATATTCTTTTATAGTTTATTGATGACAATTAACATAATAACAAATACATGAATATTACATCACACATATATAAAAATATGCTTTCATTTAAATCTTGATCTTGACATATGATTTGGACGGATTATTGTAAACTTAGATAAAAACGCTATATAGCAACATTTTTATGAGTGATAGGGGTCATTTCCCCAATTACATTGTCCTTTGTTCAAGTGTTGATACCGACACTATTGATAACATATAGCATCAAATTTAATTTAAAACTGGCCAATCAAACATAGGGAGATCATCCAGTTAATGTTCAGTCAAGTAACAATGACAGAATGGATTTCTATAGATTCATCCCCCCCTCCCCCCTTGTTTACGACATCTCCAGTCCCACAGTTCAAATATTAATGCCGATTTATTGTAAACAATCACTGCACTATTCAAACCAGTTAATCCACAATAGATTTTTAGTGGTATACAAAATAAATCTTGGGGTAAAGGTTTTGATTACCTTAAGAAAACCATTTCTCAAATATATCTAATAAAAAATGGAGTTCCTAAAAATAAAATAATGCAAAAGTACAAGAGTTTTTTTCTGAAAGAATTCTCAATTTAGAGGGTTAAATCATTAAAAGTAAAATTATATCCTGTGACAGTGACCTTAATTTTCTATAATATAGAAAAAGAAAAAAATCCAATCATTCAATCCCTGGTGAAGACTTTTAATTTCATGGCCAATCCATTAACTCTTAAGCAGGGTATTGCTTAACATAGAAGAGTTTGTTTGCCTCTGTGGCTTCCTTTTAATTCAAGTTTCTTTCAAATTGCTATTAAAGTTCATGGATACTCGAGTTTGTTTGCCTTTGTGGCTTCCTTTAGTTCAAGTTTATTTCAAATTGCTTCATGTTCATGGCTAATCGAGTTTGTTTGCCTTTGTGGCTTCCTTTTAATTCAAGTTTATTTCGAATTGCTTCATGTTCATGGCTAATCGAGTTTGTTTGCCTCTGTGGTTTCCTTTAGTTCAAGTTTATTTCAAATTGCTTCATGTTCATGGCTAATCGAGTTTGTTTGCCTTTGTGGCTTCCTTTTAGTTTTAAGTAGAAGTTCATTTCAAATTGCTATATTTCAATCCATTGGTATCAGAGTAATCAGACCTAATGCAGTACAGAAATTAATAAATCCAGTCATTCAATCCGTGGTGAGGACTCTTTAATTAAAGTTCATGGCTAAAGAGGAGTATTGCTTAACATAGAAGAGTTTGTTGGCCTCTGCGACTCCCTTCTTGTGGTAAAGGAGAAATATGATGAGATGAACAGACAGGTGAATATATTCTATGACTTTATGCTATAGTGAAACAATTCTTTCATGTGAACTATGTATATAAAATATTTATAGATTTAAAAGAACAGGAAAAATGGCATCCAAAAATTTTGCTGATGTGAAAAGTAGAACTCGTGGCGACTCACTATGAGAAGATTAATTCTTTGTGACAAAAATCAATTTAATTTTCAATAAACAAATGTGAAAATTCAATATTTGAAGACATTGGTACATTATATTAAAAATCAAGGCTGTTATTATATATTGAGGGCTGTATGTATATTTGATAGGATGATGCAAACTTTGCTCTCCAAAATAACAGTAAAAGATACGTGAAAGAAGAAGAGAATATACAAGTAAATGTCAAAACTGGTACTACCGACATAGGCTCGTCCTCCAAGTAATTTACAAACATTTTAAAAATAATTTGGCAAAATATCTCAACAAAAAACACAAGAGCCCCTAAAACAAAATTAATCAAAGATACAACCAAAGTTTCTTGGAAATAATTGTTCAAAATGTTAATTCTAAATGTCAACTTAGCTTGTATTCGGGAATGCAACTAATGGCTTCCCACTACCAGATTGACCTATTAATTCTCACTGTAACTATCAATCATAACTAGCAGGTTGGTTGAATTAGCAAACAGACTGTAGGTCATTGTTACTTGCTGCTAAACAGGTTAACCTGTTATTTAGGTCAGTGATTGGGTTTGATGTGATAGCTAGCAGCTGCTGGAATGCACAGACTGTAGGTCATTGTTACTTGCTGCTAAACAGGTTAACCTGTTATTTAGGTCAGTGATTGGGTTTGATGTGGTAGCTAGCAGCTGCTGGAATGCACAGACTGTAGGTCATTGTTACTTGCTACTAAACAGGTTAACCTGTTATTTAGGTCAGTGATTGGGTTTGATGTGATAGCTAGCAGCTGCTGGAATGCACAGACTGTAGGTCATTGTTACTTGCTGCTAAACAGGTTAACCTGTTATTTAGGTCAGTGATTGGGTTTGATGTGATAGCTAGCAGCTGCTGGAATGCACAGACTGTAGGTCATTGTTACTTGCTACTAAACAGGTTAACATGTTATTTAGGTCAGTGATTGGGTTTGATGTGATAGCTAGCAGCTGCTGAAATGCACAGATTGTAGGTCATTGTTACTTGCTGCTAAACAGGTTAACCTGTTATTTAGGTCAGTGATTGGGTTTGATGTGAAAGCTTGCAGCTACTGGAATGCACAGCAGGTACTATTCATATCTAAATGAGTTTGCCATCAAATTGCATGGCTTGCTGTTATTTGAATACAAGTCTAGATAAATCTTATAATCCACTTTGTGATCAAGATAATTCATTCTTTAATGTCAAGGGTATTGTTGTTGATGCAGTCAAAGTGCATTACCAGACATGAGCTAATTGTTTTCCCAAAATATTACAGACACATATTTTTCAGAAATTTGTTTTCGATAAAAGCTGTAGAAGTGAAGTTCAAACGTAGTTGTACAGCTCCTTTAGAATAAAAGTGCATTGCCAATTCATTTCTGCTTCTAACTTAAGGTTCCACTCTAATAATGATGCATTCATCCATGCTGTATTCAAATAGGGGTCATTTCCCGAATTACACTGTCCTGTAAGACACCGTCCTTTTGCCTGTTTTGTAATTGTTGGCCTGGTCATTCACGTTGTTTCCTTGTTGATGCCTCATCCCTCTTGTTATATTTAATGATGGCCCTTTGCTGAAAAGAATATAAAAGCCAATAAGATATCCTGTGTGCACTTAAAATAAACATTTATCCCATAGTTAGAAGGATATAGATCGAATATCACACATCATATTTCAGCTAAAAATCCCTAAACCATCAAATATCTATTTAAAAGGTAATGTTCGATGGTGTAATTTCTAATTTCTGTGTAATTTCTATAAAAACAAAAATTCAGGGAAAGGGAACAACAAAACTCGCTGCGCTCACTTGTGAAGATATCAATATCCATTCACGGATATAAATGATATTTTTTCAAAACCATAGGATATTCCTATGATATTCTACAAGTGGCCTTACAGCTGTAGTGAAATACCCTTGCAGCAAGGATGGTCAAGTGGATTCTAACCTAAAACCTGCTCATAAGCCAACCCATCATGCATGAGGACATTTACATTCAATACCATTCAATTAAAATCTATTAGGCTATATAATAAATATTCAGTTATTTCCCCTGAGATCAGCTGCTAGTTCAGAAACTATTTTATGTTTCTCCTGTTCTTTTCTATACAGGAAAGTCATTATTGGCCTTTCAGATGATGTAACTGTAACATATCGCTCTAATTTTAATATCCCTAGGTTCTACAATTGAAACTCCTTTAGTTCATTTACGTTTTTACTTAGAATTGTGTGACTATAAGAGGTTCCTCTAATTGTAATAACCCTGGGCGCAACCTACAACACCTCAGAAACTCCTCTACTTACATTGGGATACAACCGATTGCCGAGCCCTTAGAAATGCCATTATATCTGCATCTGCTTCTGCATCTCCCGTCAATGGTATTGAATTATCTCCACTCCACCTGGAAAGTTAATTTAAAGATTAAATATATGGTTTATTTTCTACCAATTCCAGAAAACGATGAAGACTACATAACAAAGAAACATAGTATCATATTTGTTTTGTGTTAATCTTTAGTTATTATGCAAGGCACAATAACACAGCATCATTTTATGAAGGGACCCCTCTGCAAGTTATCTATTATCTATTTTGTAACAATTAATATAATGAATATTTGTTTTGTGTTTATCTTAAGTTATCATGCAAGGCACAATAACACAGCATCATTTTATGAAGGGACCCCTCTGCAAGTTATCTATTATCTATTTTGTAACAATTAATATAATGAATATTTGTTTTGTGTTTATCTTAAGTTATCATGCAAGGCACAATAACACAGCATCATTTTATGAAGGGACCCTTCTGCGAGTTATCTATTATCTATTTTGTAACAATTAATAGAATGAATATTTGTTTTGTGTTTATCTTAAGTTATCATGCAAGGCACAATAACACAGCATCATTTTATGAAGGGACCCTTCTGCGAGTTATCTATTATCTATTTTGTAACAATTAATAGAATGAATATTTGTTTTGTGTTTATCTTAAGTTATCATGCAAGGCACAATAACACAGCATCATTTTATGAAGGGACCCCTCTGAAAGTTAGCTATTATTATATATTTTGTAACAATTAATGGAATAAATATTTGTTTTGTGTTTATCTTAAGTTATCATGCAAGGCACAATAACACAGCATCATTTTATGAAGCGACCCCTCTGAAAGTTAGCTATTATATATTTTGTAACAATTAATGGAATGAATATTTGTTTTGTGTTTATCTTAAGTTATCATGCAAGGCACAATAACACTGCATCATTTTATGAAGCGACCCCTCTGAAAGTTAGCTATTATATATTTTGTAACAATTAATGGAATGAATATTTGTTTTGTGTTTATCTTAAGTTATCATGCAAGGCACAATAACACAGCATCATTTTATGAAGGGACCCCTCTGCAAGTTATCTATTATATATTTTGTCACAATTAATAGAATGAATATTTGTTTTGTGTTTATCTTAAGTTATCATGCAAGGCACAATAACTCAGCATCATTTTATGAAGGGACCCCTCTGCAATTTAGCTATTATATATTTTGTAACAATTAAAATAATGAATATTTGTTTTGTGTTTATCTTAAGTTATCATGCAAGGCACAATAACACAGCATCATTTTATGAAGGGACCCCTCTGAAAGTTAGCTATTATATATTTTGTAACAATTAATATAATGAATATTTGTTTTGTGTTTATCTTAAGTTATCATGCAAGGCACAATAACACTGCATCATTTTATGAAGCGACCCCTCTGCAGCAAGTTATGTATTATCTATTTTGTAACAATTAATGGAATGAATATTTGTTTTGTGTCTATCTTAAGTTATCATGCAAGGCACAATAACACAGCATCATTTTATGAAGGGACCCCTCTGAAAGTTAGCTATTATATATTTTGTAACAATTAATATAATGAATATTTGTTTTGTGTTTATCTTAAGTTATCATGCAAGGCACAATAACACTGCATCATTTTATGAAGCGACCCCTCTGCAGCAAGTTATGTATTATCTATTTTGTAACAATTAATGGAATGAATATTTGTTTTGTGTTTATCTTAAGTTATCATGCAAGGCACAATAACACAGCATCATTTTATGAAGGGACCCCTCTGCAGCAAGTTATCTATTATATGTTTTGTAACAATTACACGCCTAACCATCTACAAAGTACAGTGACAAAATATACTATAGTACATGAATGATGACACTATTTAACTGATTTGAAGCAAAGACAATGATGTAAGTTTGATGTAGGTTTTAAAAAAATTATCTGAGGAATATATTAAGGATTTCATTTTTTTTGTGTATTCGTTTAGGAAGACATTTAACTTTCTAAAAACGTTAAAAGATTTTGGAACAGTGCTCAATTTTTTTCATAGTCAATCTACCCATATAATTGGTTGATTGGAAAATTGTGTGTTTTTACACATTTCTTTTGATCATTTCCTCCCCTGTCGTCTAAGAGTGTCGAATATTTTTATGAGAAAAAAATATTTATTTATTCAAATATAGAGTATTAGTGGTTGTTAACGTTCACATAAAAATAGTATTTACTGTTTAACATGTAGTTAGTATGTTCTATAATATATTCCTTCTAAAACATTCATAGTTTGAAAATGAACTGAATCAATCATAAATTGGTCCTTTAACGTCTGATTATTTTCAACATATCTTATGAGAGTGTAACAGAGTACTGTATAAATGTTAAAACCATTCCCACATAATATGGAATGCAATCTAAGTTGTAAGTCTATGAGTGATCAAAGGGTTATAAAACCATAAACTAGAGATATTGTAAAGACTTGGACAGTGGATATAGATTAAAACCCAGGTGCTGAGGGGCATATACTTAGATGAACCTGGATGAAACACAATTTTGATCTTTTCTGTTCAGTTAGCCGATTATGCTAAATTACTGACCTTGATATCTATTAGTAACAAATCCACAAAATCCTCTCAAAGCTAAGCACGACAACTGGTGGAAAGCAGCCGGATAGAATTAGGGAAAGGTTTTGCAGACAAATTGGTTGACGACTTGACAGGAAGATAGAAAACGAGGAAATTTAGGATGGCAACGACTAGAAGTGGAAATGCAGAGGTTGCCAGTCTTCAAGTCCAACTGAAGACGATCTCCCCAACACTAAATAAAGTAATGGATGGACAAGGAGAGATAAAATACAATAATACAATAAAACCAGAGAATTTCATGGATATAATGGCGAAAATGTGGCAGAGTGGCTGAAAAAATATGAGGCTATTGCCGGCTTTAATGGATGGAGCAAAGTGAGAAAAGCCCAAGGTTTCCCCTTATTCCTGGAGGGACAAGCACTTATTTGGTTGTTAAGCCAAACAACAACGAATCAGTACAACCTGAAATCATGTTAATTAGCAATAAAGAAGATTTAGAACAAGTCATTCGTAGTATGAGGGAAATTGATTTTGAGGGCGAGGTATGGCGCCACTGTCCTGATACAAAATGCCGCCCCTATAGGATCAATCACATTCATTGGGAGATCCAATCAGAATTTCAACTCGGGGAAGGTATATTACCTGATTACATGAGGAAAAATAAAGGCATCATTGGTTTAAAAAATAATTTTGATCGAAGACCCTTCAAACACAAGCTCTGCACTTTTCTTTGCTTGGCCTAACATCGTACCAAGAAAATCAGTTCAGTCAACAAAGTAGCCATGAAATATCTGAAAAAATTGCGTCAAGTCACAGACAAAGAAAAGAAGCAAATCGTCTTTTTTCAGACAGAACTCTCTCTCTTTGGAGATATTTTCCAGATCAATATCAATGTTTACATGCTCAAGGAAGATGGAAAAGTGGAGAGAGTCTACAATTCCACCAAGAAGTTTGAGGACACTATAAATCTGAATGTTTATAACAGACACCTGAGCTATATTAAGAACATGGATTTATACAGCAAGAAGTATAGTTGTAGAAATTGCAAAAAGCTCTTCAAAAAAGTTTTAACCTGAAGCGCCACGAGAAATCTTGCAGCACGGCTTCCATCTTGAAGTTCCCTGGAGGGTATTACAAATTATTGTTCACACTTCCTCGTCTGTTGTATAAATGAAAAACTTTTACAGATCAGTTCACTTTTATTTCATAGAATACACAAAACTGTCTTCTCCAGGTAATACACGGGTCCTTAACCTCTTATCATTATCAGTGTTTGGAGTCATATCAACTACGAGATAACCATAAGAAATACTAGTGGCGTCTTGCCAGGCAGAAATCAAAATCTTAGATTTACCAGGAAACAGCTGACGTCCCAAGTGCTCTATTTGTGAAGATGCTCTGATGTTTCCAATACACCATGAGAGCATTTTTCCAGTCTTCACGCTTGAGTGATTTTGGGTTATTTTTTGAGTTTGAGCAATTTTTTCACCAAACGGTCACTTGATTCTTACTCCCGAGTCAGTGATCCCAATCATAAACCATTGAGGGCCTAGGGATGTAGTCATGTCATTGATACTTTTCAGTATAGACATCCCTAAAGAATGTTGATTGTCGCCCTGGAGCATGTGATGAAAAATGTTGTAAGAGTGTAACTGTAAGTCTGATGTTCATGAAATATAGATGGATGGTGGGAAATAGAATGATGTGTAAATGAGTTAAATGCTAGGGAGTAAAACCCTAAAATGGTAAGACGAGGAAAATGTATGATTTCATTTTTTTCTGACCACTTTGTACTTGAGAACTGTACTATCAATTTTATTACCATGTTCTATCTATCAAATACTCAAAATGATAGTCATTGGCATTGTCTTTGAATATGAGAGTAGATATCTCGTTTAATCCTAGCCAACCACTTAAGTTTATGGTGATGTTATCTTAATCTAATGTCGCATGATTTTCAGAAATCTGACAATGCATTACATATTGAGTAGTTTGAAAATATAAGTAAAACAAAAGAAGAAAAGCATTTTAACTTTTAAAGGAGGAAAAATACCTAAACACCATATAAGTATACTTTAAGTTATAATGTAAAAAGAAATCATCATAAACTACTTCATTATTTTTCTGTTTATGTAAATGTTTAGTAATACAGAATGTTTACACGGTAAAATGAAAATTTATTCAATCATATTGATCTAATAGCATCCATTTAGACTGATTGAATTTTAAGGAAACAAAAATAATTTTGTAAATATCAAGAGACAATGTTAATTAGAAAATACAGAATAAACAGTTCTTAATGGTAAATGATACAAAGTATGAAATAATTCAAACAATTATTTATTTCAAACTGTAGAAGATATCAATGATGTCTGTTGCATGTTAAAATATAGTAGAGAAACCTAGAATAATTCTTACAATTTATTCCAGCCCAAAAAACAAAAATTGGAAGTAGTCAAAAATGAAAGTGAAAGTGAAGAGAGCGATAATAGTGATATTATTGAAATCTTGGATGATTGTGTAAGTTTTTTAAATGCAATTAATTAAAACAAACATTTTGTAAACTATAAACCTTCTTAATTTATTTACACATTATATTTTACGGAATTGAAAACGATATCAATATAAGTATACAAGGTGTCTCAGAAAAATAATGACTTATTTAAAATATTTTATTTAAATCTTTACAGGGTGTACCTAAAAATATCTGTAAATGTTTTTCTACTACTAGTTATTTTATATTTTTATTAGAATGAGAACACAAGATCTTAATATACAAATCATTTGTTAGATTCTTAAGATTTATTCAATGAAAACAATATAAATTAAAATAAAAGAATACAAGGTGTCTCAGAAAAATGGTGACTTATTTAAAATATTGCTGTAAGAGTTTCACAAGGTGTACCACAAAAATATCTGTATGGTTTTTCTTACATTATATTTATTTAGGATGAGGATAGAAGTGGAGGAATCGGTCAAAGTACATGCGTAACTAGGACAGAAGTAAGAAACTTATTACTATACTTCATAAAACAGGATTGTAAAATATATTGTTTTAAGTAATATTCTCAATGTGCATTGATTTGTCAGATTCTTGAAATTTATTCGTTTGGTTTTAGGTCTCAAACATGTTGTTGAAGGAGAGAGTCATACAACAACAGTACAGAAAAGTATGTTATTGAATTATTTTATTGAATTATTTTATAGAATTAAGCTTAGTATAAAATACTTTTGTTCAAAATGTAAGTATAACACCTTTTTCACGTGAATAGAAAGTCTTCAATTATTTGTTTTAGATCAAAAAGTTACTCAAGGACATTGAGAAGAAACAAAAAAGACTGCCTCAAAGGCATACAACCAGGAGAGTTCTGTCTCCTGTCGGGGAATGTTTGATATGTTTAGAAAAAAGGGCAAATGTGACCATGGTCCTATGTGGTCACATTTGCCTATGCAAAAAACTGCAGTAGGGAGCTGGTGAGGAGAGACCAGGTATGTCCCTACTGCAGAGGAGAAATAACTTCTTGCCTCAAAGTGTATATTTTATAAAGTGTCAAAAAGTGATAAACTAGTTATATTGGAGAGCCAGGAAAAAATTATATAATAGAATGTCCATTTGTCACAATGATCATCTCCATAATTTAATTCTGTAATTTAAGTTTTACCTGTACATTGTGATATCATAATTGTATATAACTCTGTTTCGGTTTACCTTAAGAAGTTTTAGGAAAAGTGGAAAGACATCCAAACATAACCAGTATTTGAATATTCATTTGAGAACGAATTGCAAACAACAAAACAACAGGATATTTTAGCTAATGCAGGTGCGTACTTATCAATTCTATTTTTTTAATTTTTACATTATACAGTTAATGAATAACAATTTTGAAAATCTATTTTTCAGTGGCAACATCAATAGGAGTACCAAATTTGGTTGAAACTGTACAGGATTTCAAGGAAGGTTATTATATCAATCAATTATAATTCGATTCAATATTTTTTATCATTTAAGAAATGCATTTTCGGATGACAGTTTGAATAGTCGATTGGACTCTATACTTCGCGAGGTTGGATTGAAGAGTGATGAGGAGGGGCGTCAACATGAGAAGTTTATCACCAAAGGTTATTGCTGCAATCATTTATACCAACACTTTCATTCAATTTTCTGTTGTTGTATTTATTACGTTTCGCTTCAGATACATTAAAATGTAAAAAAATCATTTTCAGAAAGTTTTTTTTGAATCGGTTGGTCACTCACCCAGAGATGGAGCAGAGATATTTTTACCTAAAATTCTTTTGAAACAGGTAATATACTATACAAATTTTACAAGCATCCTTTTGATCAGTTTGAGAGTACACCATTAATTTGACAACTGATCATCTAGTTCCATCATTGAATCAGTACTAAGAAGATAAATGTAAGATGAAAAAAGCTAGGAATCTTCATGCAATAAAAAACCTTCATGAAGTTTAGTAAAGCCATGGAAACAAAGTGCAAATATTTGGTTTAATCAAGTGCACCTGCATGGTTTCATTTTCCCTTTTTCATGTCTATAACAATTATATCTGACTTTTACAAACCTTCATGAGCTTACAATTTATTCAATTCAATATATCTGAAAGAACACCAAGAAGGAGCTCATGGAGAAGAACGATACCTATGTGATCTGTGTGGCAAAAGATTTAATCGTGTGCATTTTGACTTATCTAAGTGCTTAAGAGTGTATGCTCTAAAATATCAACCTGTTATTAAACCTTTAAATAGTTAAAATGAAGAAACATTTTAAGTGATCTTGTCTTGATTGACAGTTTTATTATAATTATTTATATAAGAAGTATATGTTAAGAAATGCCATATTGACAAAGCACATTATTTCAACTTTAGCTACACCCTCTTTTTCTGTATCAACATTTGTATTCATAAAAGCTTTGCATTTTTAATTTGGCATTTTTGCAACTGAGGACGATAGTTCTTAAACTATCGATCTAGTCGTAATTGACAATTTAATATTTTCATCATAAAACATAAAACATAAACATATGATGGTTTTATATCGAGTTCGTGATTGATAGCTTTAGTTTATTTATTTATTTATAATGTGTAAATGTAAGGAAATGCCATATTGACAAAGCACAGTATTTCAACTTTAGCTACACACTCTTTAATGCATCTGCATTTTCAATTTGGCATTTTTGCTTAAGATGATAGTTATGAAACATTTTGTTGAAGTACCAATCTAGTCGTAATTGACAATTATTTACGTATGTACGTGCAATAATAAAACAATATTTTTTATACATGACGTAAAAAACATTTTGTTGACTTTGATACGGCAAAACTAGTGGTTTGACTTCTAGTATGTGCATAGCTGACTACAAAGGCCTGGGTAAACAGTTTACATGCCCTCCAAAGTTAGATCTAAAAAAACATTGCATATTTACAATATATAATTGCATAACATGACAGAAATATAATTTATCCAAAGTAATTATAGACAAGGCAATTAATATGCAAAATGACAGCACCAATTCACCATAGACACCAACCGCCGAACGCTGTCCACTTTTTTGTTGGAAACTAGAACGATATGGCACCACTTTAGGTGGTGACATACAAACATCAATTTCATAAATTTTAGTTGACTGTTATTACATCTTGTATTTTCAACCAAAAAAGCTGACAAATGTAGTTGGATATACATCATTTAAATCAGGCAAGAGACAAATGTAGTTGGATATACATCATTTAAATCAGGCAAGAGAGACATGTTTACCAGTCCAAAATATCTTTTAATTAGATTGACATGGGCGTAGAGACAATATGTTGGCATTGTATGACATGTATCTATCAATATGGATGACCCAAAGCTAGTTACGAAGTCTATAAAGTCCCGGTTTTACTTCCTTAAACAAGTCAAGAGACTTATTAGGTGCATATGGCGAATACTTTCTTTTCCGAAGTGGTAAGGCTTTTGGGTTGGGTGTGCAATTTACAAAAAGGGGTTTTTCATT